GTTTATCAGGGGCCCCCCCCCCCAAAAAAACAAGAATATGTATTGTGTCTAAAAGTATAGGATGAAAATATGTGAAAAATTATTTTAATTAATACATTCAGTTACATATTTAACCTATAAAATATCAGAAAAATGTGGAAATGCCAATAAAGCTTCCCAGAAACCAAGGTGGCAACTGATATGTCTGACCAATGGTCCTAAAGATGTTCTGTTTCTAACACAAAGGATTCAAATTCAAAACCAGATGTTCCACAAGTGACTTAAATGATTAATTTATTTTAAAATAGTGGCCAGTTGTCTATCAATCAAGTATTTCAGCTCTGAAACACATGGCAACTATTTACACTCACAATGTAAAATGATATTTACACTTCTACTACAAAGATAGGAGAAAGATTAGAATTTTGAAAAACTTAATCAGATACATTTAAATAATAGACTACTGCCAAAAACTGTCTGTAACAGTATAGGTAGGAAATTTGTTTTAAATGGACAGTTCATTCAACAAGATTAAGAATCAACAGGTACGCTAGCAACTTTGTGAGGCTGTACTTGAACTAAGTGATAATAGCAGTATGCTAACAAGCTTACAATGACAATGCCAACATGATGTTATATGTATAATGTACAGTAGGTACAGGGCGACTGTGTAGTGTAGTGTGTAGTGTTTAGAGCGGTCATCTCCCAACCAGGGGGTTGGAGGTTCGAATCACAATGCCTGCAGTCCACATATCGAAGTGTTCTTGGGTAAGACACTGAACCCCCAAGTTGCCCCCGATGGTTACAGCCATCGGTGTGAGTTGGCACCACAGATGGCTGCCTCGGTTCGGTGCCAGAAACAAATTCCTTTGATTATCCTGATTACAGTGTCTACCATGTTCATCAGTTTAGCATATTAGCATGCTAACATTTGCTAATTGGCACAAAAAAATGAGGTTGATGGAAATGTCATTAGTTCTGCAGGTATTATTTCATAAAATTAAAGTTTTAAAATCCAGATAATGGCACTAGAGGAGAAGTCAGAGGACACCCGAAGTTATTAAAAGTCATCCTGATGGAAACATGATTGTGTGTGCCACATTTAATGGCAATCCATTCATGGGTGAAACATATTTCATTCAAAACCACATACAGTAGGTCAGTAGGAGACACTTCTGAGACATCATAGATTTTGTATCAAATTTAGCTAGTTTAGTAGATACATCATGGGGTTCTGTGAAATCTTTAACCTGCTGGTTGCTCTGGATGAAAAGTAAGATAAAAGTCATCCTCTGAAGTCCATGAATGTATCTGTACTAAATTTCACAATCATCCATTCAACAGTTCAGATGCTTCCATATGAACCAAAGGCTCAGACTGACTGACCTTGAAATCCCTAGAGCCACAGTGTTTAGCACGACTAAGAACAACAACAACAACAAAAAATCCCAACAACAAATAATCAAAAAAAATTTCCACTATGCAACAAAACCAGTAAATGTAATTGCAAGGAGCTAAAACATGCTAGTGTTAATTTGTTCTGGCAAAAGTTCAAGTGGAAATGTTGGAGATTCATTTTTTTCTTTTGGTTACAAACTGAAAAAAAGAGAGAAAAGTGTGGGCAACAAAATGGATAATGGAGTCTGTGGGGTCAGGACTGCATTCACACTGATTATTTCTCTGAGGAAAACCTTGAAAGGCACACAAAGATGCATTTAGAGATACAGGAAACAGCCCTACAAACACGTAGGACATGCACAGTCATATGCATGTACTGTATGTACACACATTTGTACGCACACAAAGGTATGACAGGAAAAGACACAAAACATGGATTATATATACACACTCCCGTACACACACACACTCAGACACAGAGTCAGAATGCCCGCTTCGCCTCAGTGCAACCAGAAAACAATCAATAGTGAGAGCGGAGGCACAGTACTGTTCTCCATCATCACACACATGCACACTTACACACACTCTCTCCCCTTTTCGTTCAGATCGATGGCTGTCCGCTATGTCCACAGTTACAGAGCATCGACCTCCGTCGCTAATGGCGACCACGGAACCTTGGGAATTAGTGTGTGATTGATTGACAGAATGCTTCAAAGACACACGCCTTATAGAAGCAGTATGCTTGTGCGTGTGAGAGAGTGACTGAGAGAATAGATATATATTCCCACGTGTGTACGTATGCGTGTTTCAGCAGTCCCCTGTGGGTTGTCCATACGTTGTTTACCATCTCCTTTTTCCTTCCCATGCATTCTAATGATTTCCAAAGGACAAATAAGAGAAAGAAGAAGACAGAAAGAGGAGTGAAAAGAAAACTGGACACCTAGCAGCGAAAATAAGTGAATCATCAACATAACATGATAGCGCAAGAACAGAGAAAGAGGAAGTCTGTTGTGCTAAATACAAGCAACAAAATAAAACAAATGTTTAAAACAAGAATCACGTCAAGACTGGCTTCACTAAATAGTTTTTAATCATCGCCATCACTTTGGCCCTCGTATAAAAGACTTTTCTGCAACTCAGATATTGAGTTGTGATCACTACTCAGTAATAGTAAACCACCTCTGACACAGGTCTATCTCTATATTTTTTGAGCAGTGTAAGACAGTATTCTATCTCCTTTTAACTTTATGTTCTCTCCATTTTGTATTTGTAATTGTCATAGCCTTGATTTTAGCCATGCTAGCAGTGGCTCTAGGGATGCAATGTCATTTGGTCCACCAGTTTGGTTCAGAATGAAATATCTCAGCATCTGTTGCACCACCAGCAGGCCAAAAATTTTACTTATTGTACTTATCCAGTGAAATATGTCAGCATCTACAAATAGATTTGGTACAGAGCAGTGTTGTAGTTGAGTCACTAAAACTCTAGTCTGAGTCAAGTCGAGTCCCCATTACCCAAGTCCGAGTCATCAAGGTCTACATCAAATGTAGCTGACACAGCTCTCACCATATTAGAATCCAGACCTTATAACGGTGTATTACATCACCA